GAATTTGATGATATTCATGTTACAATTTTGCATAAAGAAGAAGATACTGGGCTTGGATTCAGCCTGGCAGGGGGCATTGATCTAGAAAACAAAGTGGTAACAGTAAGTAGCATCTTTCTTACAAAATAGTCCAAAAACAACTACCCTATCTAAAAATATGTAACATACTGGTTTTCTACTACAGAGGTTAGTTTTTGGCATAATCAAAGTAGGCAGCTATACTGATAGGATCAGAAGAATTATGGTCTTAATGGGTGAAATCTGGACCCTTCTGCACTGAGCTTCCTTCTCCAGGTGACTGGCAGGGGTGTACTGTTCCCTTGGGCACCATAGTCCCCAGCAGCTCTGAAAGCCAAGGGAAGCCCTCAGCAGGAAGTAACTGACACCTTATTTACATGCTTATAGAAGACCACGCAAAGTGGTCAGGAGGAATGAGGTGAGCTCATAGACATATAAGGGGTGTGGAAATTACAGACCAGCTTCACGCCTCCTTCCTCCCACCAGCAGAGCAGTGGGAGGATAAGAAAGCACAGGCAGCAGCAAGATCTTGGCCATCTGATAGCAGGGTTAGACAAATGTCAAGCTGCCTGGGCTGCACCCAGAAAAAATTCTCTGTACAAATTTATTCCGCTCTCAGTCCTGAAACGCACTAGAAGCAATTTGTTCCTGGCAAAGAAGGGAAAATACACCTGGTAAAAAGTATTAACTGAGTGACCTAGTGATTTGTCCTTTTTGTTTTTTCTCCTCTTTCCTTGTGTGGTGACTGGGCTCTTCAACAGGTTCACAAGGTGTTTCCCAATGGACTAGCATCTCAGGAAGGAACTATTCAGAAAGGAGATGAAGTACTATCCATCAATGGAAAGTCTCTTAAAGGTGCAACTCACCACGATGCCTCAGCAATCATGCGACAGGCTCGACAACCCAGACAAGCTGTGGTTGTCACTAGAAAAGCTAAAGATGGAGAAAAAAGTCTCAACGTTTCAATCAATTCTAGTACATCTTCAGTAGCAAGTGATGCTTCCCAAGAATCTGGTAAGTTCAGTGGCGTTACCTTGCAGCACCCACCTGCTAAGGGTCTACTCACCACCTGAAGTCCTGGGTGTTCATAAAGCAGCTCAGCATTGGCTGTGTAAATCTGAGAACCATGATTAAAGACAGACAAAACATTCCCGAAGCAGACATTTGGAATAACTTTGTCAAAAAGGGAAATAATTAATGGATTTCTGAAATAAAGGAACCCTCTGAAAAAAACCAAGTGTGATCCTCTATATGAATTTCTGTAGGCATAAAAAGATTATTATTGTAGTAAGACATCTAATTGAAGGTATAATGACAACTCAGTGAATAGTGGTTCTTTATTCTAATATTATTAGATTCTAGTTTTTTCTCTGTGAAAGAGAATTTTGGTCTGAACAAACAATGTGCTATTGTTTGACAGAGCAGGTGGCTACATCTGAACCATAGCAAGGTCAAACATTTGCAGAACCTTTCACATTCTTAAGATATTTCTGTGTTTTTTTGTTTTGGTTTTTTTTTTCTAAAGCATAATCTGGAGATCTGTAGTTTTATTTATGTACTGCAAATAAACATTAGGAGCTTTGTAGTTGACAACTATTTCATAAGTAATATCAAGTCAAATTTGTTTAGCTTAAACTCTGTTCATTGAGTGGATTTTTCTAATTCTAGTAAAAGTCACCAGCTTTCATTTTCATATTTCCATTCTGCCATAAATCCAAACACAACTTTCTCTTCCCAGCTTCCCAGAGGGCCTTACAATGACGAAAAGAGAAATTATAGATTTCTCTTTCATTTGGTGGTTTATGATGCCTTTACAAACAACATAGAAGTTCATTTTTTGTAACAGCTTTTGTTTTAGCTTTTCAGCCTATGCAGCGCCCATCTGCTAACTCTCCATTTGTTTCCAGCAACTGAAGATACAATCTGCACTGTAACTCTAGAAAAAACACCTGCTGGTTTAGGATTCAGTCTGGAAGGAGGGAAAGGCTCTATTCATGGAGATAAACCCATCATCATCAACAGGATATTTAAAGGTAAACATGCTTAAATACATACACAGTTGGTTCTCAGCTGATACAAACTTGTGCAGTCCATAACTGACTGCTGATTTATTCCCATGAAAATGGTATTTTTTGTAAATGCAGCATTATCCTGTGCAGCCAGTAATTTGTTGCCTGCTGAGACCAGGTGGTTTATACCAAACATGCTGGGGATCCCTAGTAAATGAAAGATCTGTTAAAGACTCCTCCACACAAAGAATTAAAGGAAATTCATTTTCTTTCCCCAGGGACTGCATTAGAACAAAGCAGCCCTGTTCAGCCTGGCGATGAGCTGTTACAAGTGCACACAACTGCCATGCAAGGACTCACTCGTTTTGAAGCATGGAATATCATCAAGGCATTACCTGATGGGCCCATCACAGCTATCATCAAGAGGAAGAATCCAAGCTCTGTTACCAACAAGTCATCTGAAACTTTGTAAGAGGAGGAATTAGACTACTGCCAATATTGCAAACAAAAAAGGATTTTATTACTTGCAGCATTTGGCTTCCACAGCCCAATACTCAGAAAGCACATATGAGAAGAACACAGTTACAGAGCAAGCTGTCTGTGATAAAATGTGCACAAAATGTGCATGATTCTTATTTCAACATTCAGCAACAGATGTTAAAAGTATAGAATTATAAAATAATGACTATTAATAATATACTGGTTGTAATAAAATATGTGACAGTACAGTACTCTCCTATTTTAAGCCATTAACTTAACAAACATCAGAAGCACATTCTGTGCTAAGCTTTCCATCCTTCTCTACAAGTCTTGCTCCCTACCTCACCATCCCAAGAAACATGTCTACAATTCTAAACGCTACAGCAAAGGAAAAGCCTTAGGGAATGCATAAAGGGCAGACGAAGGTATGCAGCTTTGTGTGTGTAAAACGGCAATGTCCCCTGGAAAACTCTAGCCAGGACAGTCAACACCTGGTAACACAGAGGAGGTCTTTCTAACCCTCCAGCCAGAGGTCTTGGAGGACTACAGCAGGAGAGTAAGCAAACCATTTAGAAACAACTCTTACCTTCTAACCACACACATTTTTTGAAATGTCTTTGTGTTAGTTTTGTAAGTGGAAGTACCAGTGAGAGTATTTGGGAATTAAAAGTTCTGAATCCAAACATTTATTCTTGGAGATAGATCTATGCCTCAAATGCTGCTAATAGGCATTTTGACAAGGCTCTCTAAGCACTGTATGGAGTTCTACTTGCAGCAGCACGTATATATATGCAAGATGGTCTTGTGCACCCATTTGGTCTCTGACCTTTTTCACTAAAGGGAGAAATGCAGTATCAGGATGGAAGTGGTGACTTGCCAGTGGAAAGCCAGGTGACTGCACTGGTTATTGCCCTCGGCTGCTCACCTTCCCGTAGCCAGGAATTCGCTGCACCCTTCTTTGGTTACTTAATTTCATCAAACTATAACCAGTAATTGAGGAAAATGAAAGTAAGATAGACAGCAGAAGGTACTAACTGAATCCAGGCATGACTTGCTTTGGCTTTTGCTCACAAGTAAACTCTATGTTAAATATGGAGAGAACATTCTTGATGAGTCATCTTCCCCCACACTTCCAAACCCCTTACCAACTGAGATGTCTTTTCCAAAAAACAATGAAAAAACCCTCAAAAAATTTCTATGAAGTGAGTAGCAACCGAAATAGAAGGAAAATGCAAGAGGCAATCTTTCTGTACTTTTTTGAACTGGTACCTACCTGAAACCCTATGAATATTTCTTTATTTTGTTGTAGAATTTCTTGTATTTAACTTAAGCTTAGGCTTAACAAAGTCTAAGTAAAGGCCTGGTACATATAAAAGATGCTATGATTTTCCAACCACTTGCCTGTACCACCAATTCAGGAAAACCATGAATGATTTCTGTACAGAAAAGCAGGCCTGAACTCCTTAGCACGGTTACAGCTATTTCCTGTAAGACAGATCACACTTTTTGGTCAACTTCATAACTTTAAGAGCAGACTGGACTAGCTACAGCCATAGCACTGAATGCTTTAATTGTTTCAATGCTGTCTGCTGCAGGTGTCCTGAAACAGCTATTTAATTTCATCAATTTAAGAACTGACAACCACCCACCAAGACAGGTTTGATCTTGTTTGTTTCCAGAGGTGCTCTTCTCACTTCACTTCCAAAGTTTTTCAGTTTTTGCAAGCCTCTGCATTTCTTGGCATCTGCCAAGACCAAAAGAAGTCAAAACATGCTGTGTGACAGGTAGCGCGTCCTACCGGGAGTCCTCCAAGATCTTAAAAGATGATCTTTGCCAAGCCATTTCCATTTCCAAATTGGCAGGACAGAAGGGCTCTTAATTCCTTCTGGATAGAACATGTTGATCACTCAGTAAAAGGGATCCTTAAATTACTCCAAGGAAGAGCCTCAACTATCATCTTTATTGCTCAAAGCAATAAAAAAAAATGGTAATTTAAATGGATAATAATTAGCTAATAAAAAGCCCCAGTGTCTACAAAAGGCTTACTTGCAGGAAGAACGAGTGGTGACCTGAGCTCTGCTCCTTGAACTTTTTTTGCTAATTAAATTAATCATAATCCTGTAAAGACTTGCTGAGATACTGAACTTCATGCCTAACAACTTCTGTACCTTTAGCTAAATACAGATGAGACTGCAACATCAGGGCACAAATCTCTTCTCAGTGAATTTGTTACTCTTTATAAGTACACAAAGCAGCAATCTAAATTGGGAATAAGGACCAACCAAGGGCAAAAAAGATGTGAAGGTGAGTGCCTTCACCAAAACACCTTTATCCTCAAGTTAGTGGGGAGCGTATTTGGCAGTGAAGGCTCTCTGTGCCATGTTGCTTTGAATTCAGTGCGACACTGGAGGTTCAAGTGACTCTTACGTTTCCTTGATGGCAAAGCAAGTGCATGAGAAACCATTTTAAAGGATGATCCAGGAAAAACAGCAAGATGTAGCAGAAAAATATTTATTTCATCACACTTATACAAGTTTTTACATCTTTGTACACAAAGGAGACTAGATTAAAAACTGTTTCCTTGAAAAATCTATTCCACAGGGCAAGATGTACAGTGGGAAACTTTGTGTGCAAGTCCGTGCCCTATACTAAATATAAAACAAATACAGGGACAGAAAGCAGCACATTCACCTTGTTAAATAATCAGGTTACAGCATTAAAATCACAACCTGCATTTAAATTCCTAATTCAGCAAATAATTTTCCTCTTGCAATTATATGTAATCCACAGTAATGTCTGATATTCCTGCAGTAACCAGCACCATAAACATCATCTAAAGCCGGACACATCACTGCACACAAGATCAGGAGCTGATTTCCCAAGATAATGCTGTGAGGCAAACCAGTCTTAGGAAAAAAGCAACGTCCTTACGGCCTGTCAAGACTAAGCTACAGAAAAGATCATTTACCCGTTAAAAACTCTCACCACAGGAGACAGAAAAATGTTCAAGTGCAGTTAAAAATGCTCCTTTCAAGCATTTAAAAAAATGGCAAGTAAAGTGCTTAGTCCTCTTATTTATTGCCACTATGTCAGTGCCGCTTGTATCACGACATTGCAGAAATCACTGGTTTTGGTACAGAGAGGAGAAAGGAAGAGTGTCTATTTGTCAACTCACAGAACTATGAACTGATTTGCACCGGTAGATTTAATTTAGAAAAAAAAACACACTTAAGGCGTATTTACCATTAGTATTGAAGTCTGCTGGAACACATAAGCAGGATCCTCCACACGATCCAATTTGTTCTGGCTTTTACCTTTTGCTGGTTTGGACCCACTGAAGCATCTTAGCATCTCTGAGCACTGATAGCAAAACAGCTACCTCTTCTTTTGGGGAAGGAATGTTGTTCTACAGGAGTCTACAGGGAGCTTCAGAGACAAAATGGGCTGCCCCGCACCCACCTAATGCTGTAGTGCTAAGTGGATTTTAGCAATGCTGCTCCTCACAGACACTGACAAAACGTGGATGAGAGCAAATCTAGTATCTGCATCTTCTCCCTGCAGACAGCCACCAGTGCTGCCTCCAGGATTCTTCCAGCTTCTGCTGTGATATTTCTTTAATTATAAAAATGAAGGATATTGTATTAGAAAAGAATACTTTGATTTGAACAGAGACAGGTAAAAAAATGCTGTTTTAAAAATTTACTTTACTTAATCCATTGTTCCCCTTTCCTAAGTATCTTTGCTGGTAGTACAGTCCCATAAGGCCAACTTCCTATTTCTGCCCTCGAGCTGTCAGGTTTTTTCCTACCCTTAGCTGGTGATGTCAGCTATTGGTCTTGTCATGCTTTTAATGCCTTAACAGCTTTGGTCAGGTTGCTGTAAAATCCAGCTATGTTAGCTGGAAAGAAGGAATCCACCACCGTCTGGGGAAGGTAGCCACCGAGATCAGTCTGAAAGAAACTGAGGAGCTGAGTCCTGCCTGGTTCCCTGCAAAGACAATGCAGGTGATTTTTATAGCCAGCAATTTAAAAGCAGTAAGAACTTTGCAATGACTCTTATATACATTACCTGATGATAGATATTTCTCAGTACTTTTTTTTTAAAAAAAACAAACAACAGACATTAATTCAAAATTTCAATGAACGTGTCTATCTCCACAAGTCAAGTTACGGTTAAACTACGCCTTAATTAGGTAGACGATTCTGTTTATGAATTACAGCACTGTAATAAACAACCAGATACTGATTTACCAAAACCTAAGACCATATTTGTATGTTCTGCTGAATCTCTGCTTAAGAGGTCAGCAAGAATCCTACTATGATGATGGTTCCTGTAACATTAAAGAACCCCTTCTCGGAAATGAAGAAAGACTAATTCATTGCACAAAGAGAACAGAAAGTTCACAGTCATCACGATTACCAGTAAAAAGAAACCAAAACCATGTTACTGCCCAGAGGCTACAGATCACATGAGGCCACATACACAAAAAACACACCACACAAAAGATAAGAAGGGCTTTCTACTATATAACATTCACATAGATCACTTCTTACCCTGGAAGAGGTATACAGAAACAGCCACAGGGATAATTAAAACCTCTCACAAAATTTGGTTGAGGAGGACACAGTGGGTGTTCCACGTTGATGGCTAAAAGGAAAAGCATTCAAGGAAACCATCATTTTCACAAAAGATGGGAAAGAATCCTTGGTACTCAAAGCACCAGCAGCTGAGAAGCAAACTCGCTATAGGAGAATACATTTAAGAAGAACAGCAGTAAAACCTTTCCAATGTGGGGCCATGCCATACAAGCAGTCAGAAAAGACCCTGAAAAGGAACCACCCTGGCCATCGAATGGAGAAATCAGAGAAGTGTTAAATTTAGAAGCAATTGTCATTGAGCTCTGAACTAAGCATCAAGACCCTCTGAGGGAGTTTCACTGAACCCATGTTGTGTGAGGGCGTTGCTCTCCTTGAGAGGTCATTCAAGTTACTTCCAACAAACCCATACCATAGAGGTATATGCCACTTAACTGCTGAGAAGCTGCACTCTAGCAAGTGCTATGAAAAAAATAAACAGCCTTCCACACAGTGGCAACCTCTTCAAAATCAGCACTATTTGGTTTCATGAGAACGCTTATTTCCTCATACGTTTATTCAATGGCCTCACCAAAATCTAGAGGCATTACAGAAAATGTTAAAACAGGATTTAGCCTAAACAGGACTCCTTTTACAATTTCTGTAAGTTCCTAAAAAACAACAAAAGCACGGACAACCCCCCATTCCCCAAGCTTATTCAATCCCAAAAGCATAGCAAGGGAAGAAACCACAAGCCAATAGTATAATCATTATCTGAATATTAATATGATATATACTCATATATACAGGGACATAAAAGAGATCACTAGTGTTTTATCTCCTGATCGAGATCAGATCAACAACTAATAAAAGAGCGTGCTAATTACATTTTATTTTAAATTTATTTCCCGTAGCTGCTGGTTATCTGTTAACATAACGTGAACATGTTGCCAACTCAAGTATCTTACCAGCAGATAGCATTGTCCCATCTTCATACTGCTTTATTAGTACCACATCCACAAATTCTCTCGGTGAAATAATCCTCATGAAAGCTGAGGGGGTTGTGGTTCTGCATACAGAGACAGTCTGGAAATCACAAAACAGAGTTATGTCAGTTGATGCTTTCAAAAGTACAGCAGAAAGATCCCTGTAATTTCTGGTACTCTTTCAGTTACATGCTATAAACTGTAACACGGAGTTCCATTACACCCTTTGTTTAACAAAATGCAAATCAGCATAGCCAAAAGGCACTATGGTGTGTTGATGAAGGACAGTTTAATGGAGAAAAACAGAGTAATAATGCGATACTTCCAGGTTGTTCAAGGAGAGATACCACAAAGAACGGTGAAAATCAAATCTGACACATTTATGCTCATAGAGTAGTTACAATGGTTCTCCCCTCCAGGAAGGACCATATCACATGAGTACAACTTGATATCCACGTTTGTTATGCTGCAGAAACCTCAACACTACCAACTTAATGCTGAGGGCTCTGTGGTGATAGGCTCCCCAAAACAGAGGTTTCTACCACACTGGTAAGTGCTGGCAAGTCTGATAAAGCGTATGAATTTCAAGTGGCAGGTTGCAGCATTAATAAAACGGAAGTTTATAATTAATACTATGGGTGTGTAAAGTTCTCCCAAGGAAAAACACCTTCCCAGGACTTCCACAAACACCCCTGGGATAGCAGTGTTTGTACCCCGGCTGCCTCCGGGCACCTACACCCACTTCAGAATTAGGGATGTAAATCCACTGCCTAATCTGACACACAATAAATTGGAAGTTAGAGTGTATAACCGCAGTACCAGAGACAACTGCTCGTACATAGCCCTTTTCATCTGTAATGCTCCAAGTGCAGCATCTCCATTTTAATGACAGAGAGACCAAGGCAAAGCGCAGGGTCCCCAGGTCAGTCAGTCCCTAGCCCCGTGGGGACAGATGGGGCCTGAATTAACACCTGATGACATGAACACTTCACTGCTCAGCGAGGGCCACGTATTCTCTATGCCCCCTCTTCCCTCACAAATAGGGTCTTTAAAAAAAAAGATACTTTGCTCGATCTGCAGCGGTGCTAGAATTGTTAATTTCATAAATTTAAGTATTTTTAAGTATGCAGTATTTAGCTAAGAACATATTAGCAGCCCCTTACAGAAAGATAAGCCGTTGTTAAGAGAATATAAGAAATTCACAAAAAAATAGAAAGGAAAAAAAGAAAAGATGTCCAATCCCAGTATTGTCAGACTGGCTGTCATAGAGGCTGCACAACCTCCTCCCCTGCACAGAGCACAGGCTGAGGAAGGTCCGCACAGAGCCCAGCGCTTCTGAAATTAACCGCACCAGGTCAGTTTCGCCCAACTTACATCGCTGACGGCTTCGACGACCTCGAAGTCCTTCACGTTTTGGTCCCACGTGGTCCTGAGCCCGCCGGCCACCGGCTTTATGCATTCCCAGACATCCTGGGGGCTGGCGGGCACGATCCCCTCGCCCCTGTACCTGCGGCGGGACGAAACCAAACCAACCCCGGCTGTTTGGCCCCGCCTGGTCCCCAGCGCCCCGCGGGGGGCCGATCCCTCACACCCCGGCAGGGCGGGAAAGGGCCGGGGGGAGCCGGCCGTACTCACGCGTTGCCCGCGAACTCCGCGGAGGGTCTCCACGAAACCGACACCTCGCTCTGCGGGGAGAGGAGGCTTCAGCCGCCCGGCCGGGCCAGGGGTCGTCCCCCCCACGCCCGCCCGCCCCTCCTCAGCCGCCCCCGCTCGCTCACCGTGTGCCGGCAGCCCCGCCACCCGCCGGGGTCCCGCCGGTAGAGCTCCATCTTCTCAGCCGCCGCCTCGGCGACTGCTGCGTAGTCCATGGCCGGGCAGGGCGGAGCCACCGCGCCGCCGCGGCCTATGAGGGCGCCGGGCCGCACCGCCCCCGTGGGCCGATGGCGGCGCCGCCCCCTCACCTGAGAGGCCGCGGCTTGGGGAAGGAGGTGGCTTCTATCGCCTCGCCTCCTGGTGGCAGGCCGGGGGTCGGCCGTGCAGGCCAGGCCGGAGCCGCGGGTGGCCGTGGCCTGGCTGTCCCGGCAGCCTGCCGCCAGCAGCCTGAGGGGAAAAGAGCCGCCGGGCGACAGGCCGCTGCCATGAGGCGTTACTCGGGTCGCCGCCAGCCATGGCGGAGGCCTTGCCGGTCTCTCACCTGAGATGGGGCCTGCTCACCCGCTGGCAGCCCGGTGTGATCCCACCAACATGAAAAATAAAGGGCAATATTCAGCGTCTAAAGGAGGTGTAAAATCGCAACGGCATGCGAAAAACTGAATAGAATTAAATTAGGAGTAATGAGGGAAGTTTTTTTGAAGGCCACCAATGGAAAGTTTTCCTACAGTGCAGCTTATCAGGCTGGGCTGAGGAGTCTCACCAGAAAATTAATACAAGATCTAAGATTTCATCTAGAAGGCTGGCATGCATTACTGCGATCAAATACCTCCATTGCCCATGCAGTACCCTCTAAAGAAACTCCGTGTTCTTTGTAATTAGCCTGTTGCTGATTTCTTTGAGCCACACACTATAGTGAAACTAGGCACGTCAAGATGTCATAAACTGCACTGTAAATAGCACCTCTATTTGTAGGAAGCTGATTACCTGCTGAATTTATTCAGTGGAAGCATCTTTAGCTGGGACTGTGTCAAAGAGAGCCTCATCTGACATAGTTTTGTACTGGTTTAATTAAAGTGCCCCAAGTACATAGCTTTTGATTTTCCCGTAGGTAGTGTTTTTGGTTTTTAACAGCATTAGCACTAGGTAATAACTTGGATTAGTTTTCTCTTCCAAGTTTTGCAACAGATCAGTTGTGATATTGAAGCAAGATACAGTTACAGTAAAACCACAAGGCTAACTATGCTTTTCCCACCTGGAATGGCAGCATACACTGGTGTTGCAAAGACTATGTTGTAGTTACTCCAATAGACCTCAAACAGCAAGTACAACAAATGCATGTACACCCATTCAAAACACAGAAGGGTTGGGGCACTTCCTCAGACATTCGAGCATACCAGTTCGTTAGGCTCTGACATATTTAGATCAATACTGTTTTTTGATTTCTTTTTGGTGGGTTTTGTCCCAGGTTTCGGATACTTTTCCTTGCTATGAATCACCTGGATATACTGGTCATTGCTGCTGTTCTGCGGATCACTGCTGGATTCAATGGAAATGGAATCAGATTCTGTTAGAGATTGCTCCAGTTTTTGCTTTGATTTTGGTTTCACACGTGGCTCAGCATAGTTCAGGTGCACTTTCTTGTAAGCATATGGAGGCCTGTCCAGGTCTAGCTCAAAGCCATCGTCCCAGGATTTGTAGTGCACTCTGGCCAGATC